ACCGGACGGTAGTTGTTTGGGTCGTCCTTTTTTCCCTTCTTGAAGATTGGGACCACATTGGCCCTCCTCCAAGAGGTGTGCTTCCTCTCCTTGTTGCATTTCTTGTAGGATCTCCTGATGGGATTGTCCCCGACCGCAGACCAAATCTGTTGCAAACATGAACATTCCCTTTTAAAAACCACGTGGTCCCCTGAAGCGGAGGGATGCTGCTTCGCCCCCCGCCCCCGCCCACCCATGATTCCACAGGAACATTGGATTATTATCCATGTGTTATCGTGAATTCAAAGTGAATCTAAAACATCATAGGTCCCTTCTACACTGCCATATAATCCAAATTATCTGATTAGATAATCCACATCTGCTTTGAACTGGATTATATAAAGTTGCACTGCCATATAAACCAGTTCAAAGCAGATAATCTGGATTTTATATGGCAGTGTAGAAAGGACCTAAAACATAGTGAAATGAAACTGAAACAGTATAGTGGACTGAGACCGAATCTAAAACATTTAGGCCCCTTCTACACGGCCATATAATCCAGTTTATAAAATCAGATAATCCACATTATTTGCTGTGAATTGGATTAGTCTACACTACAATATCATCTGGTTCAAAACAGATAAAGTGGATTTTATATGGCAATGTAGAAGGAGCCTAAAACAACATGGTAAACTAAAACATCATGAACTCAAATGAAACCATAGTGAACTCAAGAGAAGAGAATGATGCTGGGGGGAAAGGAAGGGAAAAGGAAGAGGGGCCAACCAAGGGCAAGGTGGAGGGATGGCATCCTTGAAGGGACTGGCTTGACTCTGAAGGAGACCCTGGGGGTGGTGACGGCTGACAGGGAGCTCTGGCATGGGCTGGTCCTTGAGGTCACAAAGAGTCAGAAGCGACTGAACGAATACACAACAACAAAGTGAACTCAAACTGATACTAATACCCCTTCTACACTGCCATATAATCCAGGTTATCAAATCAGATAGTCTGCTTTGAACTGGATTATATAAATCAACACTGCCACATGATCAAGTTCAAAGCAGATCATCTGGATTTTATATAGCCGTGTAGAAGGGACTGAAAATATAGTGGACTGAAAATAAATCATCACAGTGCCCTCCTGTCTATAGTTCAGCCCACACTATAATGCCCTCTTACCTGTAGCAATGGCCTGCTTTTGGGGGGAGGGGGGAAGCTACGCTGAAAAATGGCTGTGTGAAACAGGCGCCGCTGAAAGGGAAGGGAGAAGGGGGAACCCAAGGGTCTGGAGGCCAAATCCTTCAATCTGGAAGCAGTGTGTCCAAAGCGGAGTCTTATTAAATAACAATAATAATATGGTATCTTTTTATTCATTACTTATGAAAAGCTTTCAAAAGACGAAGCATTGCTTGGCCTGATCCCGTTACACACAGAAACCGGAAGCATCGAAGACATCCTTCCAGCTTTGGAAAGAAGCGGATTGAACAGAAACGAGTTCCAAAAAAGAGGGGGTGGTGTTTCACCTTTCTCCAGAAAAGCAAAGAAGTCATTCAAAGGTACCAAATCCAGTGTTGCACCCCCTCTCCTGGCATCTGTTCCTTCTGGAACCTGGCTGCGATCGATGGACACAGATGCAGAGAAGCCTATTTGGGGGGGGGGGCAGGGGGCCCCAATGGGGGAAGGAGGACTGGGAAGGGCTCAGAGCTCCCTGTGCCCCTCTCTCCCTTCTGCGACTTTTTCAGGCAAGGTCTGGCTCCAGAAGCGAACCCGCCCCTCTTTCAGCTTCTTGGCCACCCTTTGCTTCAAGCCGATGTCCAGGTACTGCTCCTCCTGGCTGTAAGAGGGCCAGGCCACTAGACCGGCCCCATTGGGATCCCTGCGGAGCAGAAGGGAGGCAGAGGCTCCGTCAGTTGGTCTTGGTTTCATCACCCAAAGCCACCTTTGCAGACGCTTTCCTGGCAGCACCCGGCCCTTGTCCCATCCATCCATCCATCCATCCACCCACCCCTCCCTCCCTCCCTCCCTTCCTTCCCAGATGAACCCACCTCAGGTTTCCTCCCAAGGAATGAAATAAGCTTTGGATAGCTGTGGCAGAAGACCAATACAGACAATTCAACAGAAAGCCTACGGACTCACCCCTTGCGAGCAAAATTGGCCCAGTATTTCATCATTGTTTTGCTAAGGTTTCTCTCTTTGTCAGTGCCTTCACCTCCAGGAGAGACACGCAATGACAAGGTCAGTCAAGAGTTGCAGCCTTTGGCAAAGTTTTAACAATGTCCCAAGGGTTTCAGAACCTTCCTTGACCGCCTGCAAAGAGGGCCTTGGGGCCGGCAAGGTGATTCCAGGCCTCCCTGTTGATGAAATGGCAGTCTTACGTGTATTAGGAGAAATCACCCTCGAGACACGTATTCCCAGAAGCACCAGGTAATCGAAGGGTGGAGTGCCCAGATGTGCCAGGCTAGAGAGCTCAAGGCAGGTCATATCCGGAGGTGTGGAATACTGATAGACAAGTCTGCTAGGAATCACGAGACCACAAGGTCTAATTTCTCTTTCCTGCTGTGACAAATTGATGTGTCACACTGTGAGTTAACTGAGGGACAGAAAGAGCAGGTATGCTTATGAGCAGATGCTTTTAAGATGCAGGATAGGAGAAAAATCCAGTCCCACTGGGGGGTTATGAGGGGACATTCCCCATTGGCCAGCACATGGTTGGCTCACCTACCAGAGACCTGCCAACTGCCTTCAAACAGGTCAAAACATTATGCTTTTTGGGGAAAAGTAAGCACTCACCTGCTAAGAAGGGCTTCCCAAAGACAAAGAAAAGCTCATCGCCGTGGTCCGCCTGAACAAAGTCCGGCCTCAGGCCCGCCTGCCAACTGGGGCTGTGCTGGAACTCATAGACGTAGGTCGGGTGGCCGGCGTCTGGAAAGACAAAGGCGGTGGGGTCACCCTTTCCTCCTCTGGATGTGGCCCCAGATGGAGCTGCCTGACCCATGCTACTGGGCCAAGAGAGCGGAGGGCAAGCTCAGCCCAGTCGCAGCCGCCGTCGCCTCCGATCCAAGGTGGCCCCCCAAAACATGTACCATGGCCAGCCATTATCCTTTCCTCGAGAAACGATGATCAGCTTGACCGCCTTCTGGCTTGGCGGGGGGGGGGGGGGGGTACATCTGATGCGGCTGCTTAGAAGTGGTCAAGCTATACAAATATGTATATTTATATGACTCTGTTATTTATATATTTGTTTTTATATCGATATATAAAGAATCGAGCCATATTTATCTCACTTTGGCCAAGATACATTACAGCAGTTGTATAGTGCACATTTAACTCTATCCTGATATTTATCTTTATTGCACTGTAATTGTATTGGGTCACAATATTAAGGTAAAAGTTGTCCCCTGACATTAAGTCCAGTCATGTCTGACTCTGGGGTGTGGTGCTCATCTCCATTTGTAAGCCAAAGAGCCAGCGTTGTCCATAGACACTGTAATTGCATTGGGCCACAATGTTAGGTGTATATTATTATTATTATTATTATTATTATTATTATTATTATTATTATATCATGCAACATTGTGCACTTGAAATTATTATGTCATGCAGTAATGGATGCTATGTATTATTACATAATTGTTGCAACGGGAATTATTATTGCATCATGCAATGAGCGCATATTATAATAAATGTGCAACGGGGGGTGGGGGGTGGGAGTCAAGCTGCCGCTCCCTTTTCGAGAAAGCATCGCAGGTTCCAGTGAGGATCGGCACAGGCATGATGACATGAGCAGCAGAAGATACACAAGGGCTCTGGGAGAGCGAGCTATTCGGTATTTGTGTCTTGGGTCCTGCTGTTACCGCTGGGTTACATCTGTGAACTTAACGTTGTTCATGCCTCCTGTTTTGGACTCTGCTGCCTCGGTGACTTTTTCATACACCTCATTGTGCCTTGAGACCTGGACCCTGAACCTTGGACTTTGACTTGACTTGGGCCCTTGGCTTTCTGGCTTGACTACAGTTGGTGCCCTTTAACTCCGGGACGTGATTCCAAGCCCACCCTTGGCACCTGGCTTTTGGACTGCAAACCTGGCAACTCTTTCCTCTTCTTGCTTAGTAATGCTCTCAGCCTTAATGAATGGACTTTCTGATCTTGCTTTGGATCACCCCGGCTGTGTGCTGCATTTCTGTTTTGTGAGACGGACCTTTGAAAGACTCGAGGTTTTGGTTCTCCACTTAAGCAAACCTGGCCGTGGCTCATATTGCGTTGGCTGATTCAACTCTGCCCTGGTTGATTCAACGTGGCCACAGGGTGGATGTGTGTGTGTGTGTGTTGGGGGAGGGGGGTTGGAGGCTCGAGGTCTTTTCTGCCGGAGACGCCACTCACCCCGATGGTGCCGGGCAGCAAGGACAGCAGGCGCCACTAAGACCACGTCCCCAAGGGCTTCCAGGACCCGGTCCCGGAGCTGAAAGGGGTCCTGGAAGTCCTTCAGGTATTCTTTGATGATGATGTGACAGTGTTCACGGTCGATTATCTGTAATCACAGACTATAATCAATCATGGAAGCATACTCTCAGGCCAAGGCCTGTTTTATAGGTGTCTCATAAGCACAAACAAGGCCATCCATGGGGCTACTGGTTTGAGCGTCAGTCTTTGGAGACTGGAGTTCGCATCCCTGCTGCTCTGCCCTGGAAATCCATTGCTCAGCCTTGGGCAAATCACTCTCTCTGCTACAGAGGAAGGCAAGGCAATCCTGCTCTGGTCAAGTCTTGCCAAGAGAAGCCCGGGGTCAAACCGGTATGAAAAGGGCGCCAGCGGGAGACCCTCTGGGCAAGGGGACCCTGCCCTCCTCCGCCATCCGTTCTCATGATCCCTTTCTGGCAGATATCCCAGGATTTCCTTCCCTGCCTCTTGGGATCAGTGTCTCTGTCGCCAGATGAACGCGTCTTGGCATCGCTATTGGTATCACGGTCAAAGCTTGGCACCAGAATAAAGGGTTCCTTCATATTAGTGATCTCATTTGGTAATACAAACTTGGGGTCTGAGTGTTTTGGGAGGAGGGAGGGAAGGAAGGAAGGCTGGAAATGGATCCGGCTCTGCAGATGCCTTTCCCTGTTGCTGCCCTGCTTGTCCCATTCTCACAGAGGACAAAGGAAACAGAAGAACGGCCTGCCTCAGGGGAGCGTGCTTGCTCCATCCATGTTCAACATTTACACAAATGACCAGCCACGGCCAGAAGGGACAGAGAGCTTCATCTATGCAGATGATCGTGGCATTACCACTCAAGCAGGGAGCTTTGAGATGGCTGAGCAGAAGCTCTCCAAAGCTCTAGGCGTTCTCACTGCCTATTACAGGGAAAACCAGCTGATCCATAATCCATCTACAACACAGACATGTGCCTTTCACCTTATGAACAGACAAGCATCCCGAGCTCTGAGGATTACCTGGGAAGGGATCCCACGGGAGCATTGCAGCACACCCAAATACCTGGGAGTGACCCTGGACCGTGCTCTGACCTACAAGAAGCACTGCCTGAATACCAAGCAAAAAGTGGGTGCTAGAAACAATATCATACGAAAGCTGACTGGCACAACCTGGGGATCACAACCAGACACAGTGAAGACATCTGCCCTTGCGCTATGCTACTCTGCTGCTGAGTATGCATGCCCAGTGTGGAACACATCTCACCACGCTAAAACAGTGGATGTGGCTCTTAATGAGACGTGCCACATTACCACGGGGTGTCTGAGCCCTACACCACTGGAGAAATTACACTGTTTAGCCAGTACTGCACCACCTGACATCCGCTGGGAAGTAGCAGCCAATAGTGAAAGGACCAAGGCAGTGATATCTCCGGCTCATCTTCTGTTTGGGTATTAGCCAGCATGTCAATGACTTAAATCAAGAAATAGTTTTCTAAGACCTACAGAGACACTCGCTGGAACACCTCAGCAAGCTTGAGTCCAAAAGTGGCAGGCTCAAACCCAGAACCTCAAACAGGCTGAAAGCAAATGAGAGACTCCCCCCTGGGCACACAGAAAACTGGGTGACTTGGAAGACGCGGAACAGACTGCGCTCTGGCACCACGAGATGCAGAGCCAACCTTCAGAAATGGGGCCACAAAGTGGAATCCACGACATGCGAGTGTGGAGAAGAGCAAACCACTGACCACCTGCTGCAATGCAACCTGAGCCCTGCCACATGCACAAGGGAGGACCTTCTTATAGTAACACCAAAGGCACTCCAAGTGCCCAGATAGTGGTCAAAGGACATTTAATCGACTACCAATCTTGCAAACTCTGTTTTGTCTGTTTGTTAAAATTTTGTTTAAAATGTAATGCAATTGTCTGGTTGCCACTCACACAATAAATAAATAAGAGGACAAAGGGAAGATATGGGTCCGGGGCTTCGATTTTCTGTTTCGTTTCTCTGCTTGTTTGGGGTCCCCCATAAGGAAGATGGAGTAAGCCTGTTTTCTGCTGTTTCAGAAACTTGGTGGATTCCAATGTATGCCAAGGATACTGGATGGGGAATAGAGCGAATGAAGCCCAGCTGGTCCTAAGGCGCCATCCTTAGACAGAGAATGCAAAGGAAAGGCAAAGTCTCCACAGGGAAAGGCAGCGCTGACACAGCCGCAAAGGAGAGAGTCCAAAGGAGCCGCACACACCGCCACAGCCCAAGGACACCAAGGATGTCACAGCAACTGGCACTGCTCTGTGTGACTGAGCAACAGAGATCTGTACATAGGTTACGGGGCACTGTTGAGAGCTTAAGCTTTGTTTTGTCTTTGGTTTTATTTTGTATTGTATTGTGTGTTTATATTTACACGTTGTTTTAGGCACACTGTGCCACATGTAAGCCACCCCGACTCCCTTCGGGGAGATGGAGACGGGTACAAAAATAAAGTTATTATTGGGTTGTTATAGGTCTGACCTCACAAGCTCTGAGTGATGTCGAGCACCCCCCCCCCAAAAATAAGGGATAGTGACTTATAGTTCTGCAAAGGGCAAGGGCACCAGACTACACAACAAGGGTCAAGTCTTGGTCACATTGCCAAAGCACTGACGACAACAAGGACCCCACGAGGCTTTTGGGAAACGGCTGGATCTTGGGACTTCTGCCCTCCATGAGAGTTGTAGTTTCCCAGGGACCAGCTTCGATCCCAGCGTGGCAGCTCTGCCTAACGTTTTGGACTCACAAGGACATCTTTCCCGCTCATGGACTCACATTGCTTGAAAATAATTTCTTTATTAAATTTCTCTGGTGGGTGGGATGGAGAAGGGGTGATTGATCTATATACTTTCCTTCTCTGTATTTCCTCCACAAGTCTGACCCAGCCATGAACTCTTTTGCCCTTTGGGAGGCTGATCAGGGAGCGGCCCGCTGGGCTGGAAAGGCAATCAGGAATCACAAAAACACCTATTTACTTGGAACTCACACCTGAACAATGGGACCTGGAGTTACTATTTGACTTTAGGAGGGGGTCATCAGACTGTGATTTCCTCTGCCAAGTTTTCCTTCACAACAAACATCCTTCCCAGCCTCACCTTTTACCTTATCTGATCTTGGAAGGGGAAAACCTGAATCAAATGATTATCCCTAATCACTGATCCATCACAAGAACAAAAAAAACTAGTTTCCTTGGCTGGCTGATCCCCCGGGCACAGGACAGTAGAATGTCATCATCCTCTCTGGACACAATGCCCCTCTTCCGTCCTGCCTCCCTCTCCCTGATTTGCTAAGGAGCCGAAGAGGGAGGGAGTTTTGAAATGTTTTCCTGTATTTTGCCTATAAAAATGCCTGTAAATTCTGTATTGGTATGCCTGTGGCGGAATTATTCCCACAGTGCATCCGATCTCAGCTGAATCGCTCATTAAACCTCGATGCCTCTTCTTCTTCGCTTTGGCAAGAGTCTCATTTCAATTATTAATATTAAATAAAATTGCTGGAATCAGGCTTCTCTGAAGGCTTGCCTCCAGAGAGGAGAGCCCTAGGACTGCACCAAAGAGAGTCCTGGATACCTTGGTGAGATTTTTCCGGAAGCCAATCCAAGAGCGCAGGAATATTTTTAATATGAAATCAGCTCACCAGAGGCGGAAGAAGTCCAGCGATCGAGGTTTATTTGCAATTCAGCTGAGTTGGATGCAACTGTAGGGATAGTTCCTCTACAAGCATCCAGATACAAAGATTTCAGGCATTTTTATACAGTACAGGACAAAAGAAAGCAGTTTGAAACTCCCGCCGCCCCTTGCCGGCCGGCTTGCCGCTGATTGGTTGAGGCTGGAACAGCTGGGAGGAGGCTTGGCGACCCGCCCCAGCTTTTAGCCAATCAGAACGTTCCCGCGCCTCGGGAGGGCCAATGGGCGCCCTCCGCTCGCTTTTGAGTTTGGACCAATCAGGAGCGAGGAGGGCGGGACGGCCGCAGACAAAGGGGAAAGATGATGGGATTTGGATTTCCTGCCAGCTGGAATGCGGGCTTTGTCTTGGGCGGGAAAAGGGTGATATTTGGTAAACAAAGAGCTTTCCTGTCCTTGATGGGTCTGGCAAGTGATTTGAATGGGCTAGATCGATATCGGACCACCCGGAGGGTCAACAATATCTTGGTGATATATCAGTCCTTTCTTTCCGAGGCTCTGCTGACCCCCCTCCCTTCGCTGGCCTTGCTCCGAGGGCTAGGGTTGGGGATCAGTAGTATTGTCCATGCTGATGAATCAATCAAGGGTGATTAAGGGAGAGGCTTGAGCTCTTCCCCTAGGCAGTTCCTGGTCACGCCGCTTTTGTGGGGCAAAGGTGGAGGGGGTGAGGGCACAGAGGAATTCATGGGGGTTACATACATATCATAATCATAGGTAACAGACATCACTGGTATACAGGCATTTCATAATATCACAACCCACAGCCCATCCCAACCCCAATCCATTACAGTAGAAAAAAAGATTTTAAAAAGAAACTGGAAATCCCAAAACTCCCAGTCGAGGATCGTGGAGGCAGAGGTCAGTCTGCAGTTCTGGCTGACCAGTAGAAGGTCCATTCACCTAGGCAGAAGCCCAGTGATGGGCGCTGGGTCGGGTAGTGGCAGAGTCCATAGTCCAGTGCATAAGTCAGAGAGTTCACAAAGAGGAAACAGGAATCCAGTTATGTGCGCTGGGTCAGGAAGCAACAGAATCCATTGTCCGGCCCTTGGCGAACTAGATCTTCCGCGCTGGGGCCGGGGGCCGGCCTGGCCGCTTTTCTGGGTCCTCCTGTGGGTGCCCACAGCAAGCCCCTGATGGCAGGGCACGAGCAGGAACGAGCGGTAGCAAGGGAATAACAGGCTGCTTTCACCGAGCCAGCAGAGTTTTGGCAATCAGCTGTTTGCTGTCTAATAATAATACTTGAAACAAAACGATTATTCCCCGAGCGCAGGAGTCCAAAATGAGGAAAGCGAGACAGCAGTTAGTCTTAGAATTAATAGCAGGAAAGATACAAAAGTATCAAGTAGAAAGATTAAATGTTGCAAGTTTCAAGTGCCTTATTAGGGGAATGATACAATGTAAGGAGAAGGGAAAGCAAAGAAAGGCTGCAGGCATTCTTATTATTGAGCTGCCTGCTGGGGCACATTTCATCAGTTTCTTCCGATTGTGACAACCAGGAACTGCGGAACTCTCCGCTGCAGTGCAGGCCAATCGATGGCAGGGCCCCCCCGCCGGTTGGGTGAGAGGATGCAGCCTTGCCGCACGCCTTTCCCAATCTTGAACCAGTCTGTTGTTCCGTGGTCAGTTCTGACTGTTGCTACTTGGTCCTTGTACAGATTCCTCAGGAGAGAGACAAGGTGGCTTGGGATGCCACACCAAGAACTTGCCACAATTTATTATGATCCACACAGTCAAAGGCTTTAGAATAGTCAATGAAACAGAAGTAGATGTTTTTCTGAAACTCCCTGCCTTTCTCCATTATCCAGCGGATATTGGCAATCTGGTCTCTCGTTCCTCTGCCTTTTCTGAACCCAGCTTACTACATCCCACAA